CTTTTTTGTTGAAATTGATGGCAGATGGTGCGACTAACATTGGTAACATAGTTTTACAGTAAATACTTTACTGTTAATTTTATACCTCAACCGTTTTGAAAAAGATTTTTTAGAACATTGGTCAATTCATGCTGTAAACTTGTCTTTTGCAACTGTGTTAATTGGTACTGGTGATAGCGTGTGCACATTAAAAGTGCTATGTTGCCTGTCTTCGATAACCCATTAAGTATGTCATATTTGTTTGTAAATCAAAATGCAAATACGCGTCGGGATGCCCGGTGTTTGAAGGGTGACTGCAAAAAGGTGTGTTTGTACAAGAGTTTGTTTCCACACGCGTAGAAGGCAATGTAAACACAGAAACTAACTGTTGCCTGGCTCTGTATCTTGCACCAACACACACACACACACTTACTGTAATATTAATGTCGCACAATTGATAAGAAGTGACGAATCAAACTAACTGAAAGATTAAATAAAAAAAGATCGTCGGATGATAAACCAACATAACATTCATATTAAACCCCGTTCCCATACCTAGATCGATCTAGCAGGATCAACTCATCTCCGAGGCCTTTCTCGATAAATTGCTTTCTGCTTAAGCGGCTCTGATGTATAGGGGGTTATTAACTATCGTTCAGCAACTTCTGTAGGCCTGTCAGGCATCTAAGCCGGTTACGCTAAAAGCAATTTAGAAACCCCTCGGAGATGGATCAAGCCTGCTAGATCGAGGTTTGATAATGGGGTCTTAAAAATTACACAAAGGGAGCCACAACGTTTGTACCTTACGTGAGCGACATATATCAAGTCCATATCACTTAAAAATGCTTCAGTGTAAATAACGGTGAGATCCTCGTGCTTTCTCTTTAAAAAAAGCGTTATCTATTACTCATATGTCAAGCATTCAGCAAATACAGGCTAGGCTTTGATACGGTCGTAGTTACTGTCAACATTTCCTAATTGATCGGTTGACAATTTTGAGGTAGGTGATACTGTAGATAACCTACTGAACGACATAAAAACGCACACGACTTTTTTTTTTTTTGCAACGATAAAGTTGGGTGCCCAGCGTGCAGGAGGCGCTGTGCCGACCCTTGTTTATTACAAGTACAATGGCATCAAAAGAGCTCTACAACGTTTTCAGAGAGAATTTTTTAACGTGCCATATATGTCTGGAGGAATATACAGACCCGAGAGTGCTCCCCTGTTACCACACGTTCTGCCTGGATTGTATTGCTGACCATGCAGCCAAAAATGGAGTGCAGAACAAGTTCTCCTGTCCCGTGTGTCGCCAAGACGCCTCCGTACCTCCAGGCGGATTAGCAACTCTCGTGAAAAACTTCTTCTTAATAAACGTGACAGACTTCATGAAAGGTCAGAAGGCACCAGAGGGGAGACTTTGTGATTATTGTAAGCATATAGAGGCCACTATGTTGTGCCAAGGATGCCCCAAGACCAACCAACTGTGTGTTACATGTCGTGAATTGCACGACAACATCCCGGCCTTAAATGGACACCACTTTTTGCCTCTGTCACAAGTCGACTTCTCAGTTGATCCAGCTAACGTACGCGAACAGTTACGTCAAGTATTAGATAAAGCTCAATTTTGCGACAAACATGCCGGCGAACAGCTTGCATTCTATTGTCAAAACGATGACACTGTCATATGCAGGGAATGCATCGTAGAAACCCACAGCAAACACGATTTCAAAAAAATAGGAGATGTGGTGATGTTTCAACGTAGTCTAATAGTAGACAGGCTAAAATGTCTCCCAACTGAAAAACTGTCTCGTTTGGAGAAGGCGGAAAAGGCCATTGCACGAACGGAAGCGAGTCTGACGGAAAACCAGAGGAGGGTTCTTCGTTTGGTGGATTCTCAAAGAGTTACTATGACACAGGAGATACATGATAACAGTAAAATTATAGAGAGGGAACTGAACGATTGTTACCAGCAAATAGAACAAGACGTACGTAAACAAACAGACGCATATTTGACCAGTGTAAAGCATCATTTGGTAATGTATCGAACAAAGGTACAATCCAATTATACCAAAATGAGAAAGTTTATAGATGATAAAAGCAACGCAGTATCAGAAGAAGTTATGGTACTCACCTCTGCTCAGGTGAAGACTTTAGAAGCTGAAAAGGACAAGCAAGAAATGCTCAAAATTTGCATTCATAGTATTCGTGATTTCGCTCAGCAGCTCACAGACACAGGTTCTGATATCGAGGTCATGACCCACTCTAAAAAAATCCAAGCTAGAATTAAAGACTTACAGACAGTAGAACCTGTCTTTGATACCAAGATCATCGACATAAAATTTACACCAGGGAAAACAAAAATGGACCTGGCGCTACAGTTTCCAAAAATTCCAGAACCACAGCTATCAATCAAAACGGGGTCCATCACGGCGAAGACATATGGTGGTCCTTTGGATGCATATTTCGGATGTTTGGAACAAGAGACAGTGCACTGTCCAGAATTGCAACAATTTCAGAGAGTAGCGTTGTTAAAAACGCCAGAGCGAACGCGTTGTTTTAATGTCAAGGGTTGGCTTTTGGATATTCAGTGCACAGATGACGGTTGCACTTTAGCTGTTCAAGGTGATGCAGTGTCCATTGTCTCCAGTGCAAGTCAGTATAATCGTGAGATCAGTATAGAGGGAGGGGTGGGGTGTATCTCTACAGTCAGTAACGATAGATTCGTGGTCATGTGTGGCGATAAATGCTGTAGGCTGTATTCAACATCAGGTCAGTTTATCCGATGTTTTGGTCAGGGTGATATGTCTGACCCCTGGGATGTCACTGTGGACCGTACAGAGGGTAAGGTGTACGTGTGTGATGGTGCTGCACAGTGCATCTGTGTGTACGAAATAAAATCTTTTCGACTAGTTAACAAAATTCCTATCCCAATGTGCAGTAAAGGTTCACTGCGCTGTGCATACCACCACGTCATTAATGCAATCATAGTCAGCGACCATTGTACCCACTGTGTGTATGCAGTGACACCCAAGGGTGACGTCATCTTCCAATACGGAACACGAGGTCAGAGTGGAAGTGTAGACGGACAACTGACTAAACCACTCGGAGTGTGTGTAGATAAGTTCGGATACATATTCATAGCTGACGCTAGCCGTAATAATCACAGAGTGGTTGTCCTTGGTTCAGACGGAAAATTTCTGCATAATATTCTGACAAGGAATGATGACATAAAAGTTCCTGTTTCAGTCGATATCAGCGATAGCGGGGAGCTTGTTGTTGGAACTAATCAAAGTAAAATAATCGCGTATCAGTACATTGATAAAATTTAATTAATTTAGCTCATACTACCCAAGCTGTTAGGAGGTGTTGACGATAGTCAGTTACTCTCTATAGTTACTCGAGGGGGTGTGCCAGACAATTAAACTGATTTCACTGAAAGTACTTTAGTGAGAACCCCCGCAGAGTTAGATCGATCCAGCTAGTACGATGGGTTTAGGGAAACGCAGTCTTAGATTAAAGATACTTAGCACGAAAGACAATGATCCTGGCTTAAATATATGGTCCCAACAATATGGTGCTGATACACTACGAAACCATAGACCCCAAATTTTTAACAGACCGCAATTTTTACATAACAGAACTGATAGTGTACAGCGACATCTATGGAGAAGGACGGAGTTAAGGAATCTTTGTTATTGACGACGTAAACGGGAAAATCACAGGGAGAGAAGTCGTTATATTCTCGAAAGACTGTAACTTAATACGATGGTCACAACAAGATATAAATATCATATGGAAAATATATGTGCTTTGGTTAAACATTCACCAAATGCTTAATGGTATTATTGTTGTTTTGAAGTGAATGGATTTTTATTAAAAATTAATAAAAACAGCGACACCAACAGTACATGTTGATTTTTAATGTTGTAACGAAAGAAGACTTTTCCGGTTATTCGCGAATACAATCTGTTGCCTTATAATAGGAAACGAGGCCTGAGGTTTACTTGTAAATTTTTTTAAGCATTTCCTGTTTGATGAAGGCATGCGACTGCGAGGGTGACTGTGTACTGGTTTATGCGATCCGCCTTGGTTTACTAGAGTTAGAGTAACTAAAATTTCAAACTGACATCGACAAAACATGGTGAAGGCATGACAAAAGTATTCCACAAATCATTGAATGGTGTATTTGGTGATATGGGGGCCTTTGGCAAAAGCATCATCCACCACCTATGAGGGTAGACATGTCTTTGGCATTATTGCAGCACTTTTGGTAATCTCATACTTGACTTTGTTCTGGTTATTCGCATTGCTCACATTCCCAGTTCCTTTTGTAATCTACAAAACCAATGCGTTGCTAGAGAAAACAGCGTTGGGTTCACGCCTTATCTCGTGGGTTGGAGAAAAGGCGAGAAGTGTACATGTAGAACGTTCTCTGCGACGGGCAGTTCACAACGCGCAGGTGAAGTACGGCCCGGCTATGAAGAAGAGTATCCACCAAAGCAAAATGACAAAAAACTGTAATCCGACAACGCAGGTGAATCGTGGTTCAAACGGTGTCAGTCACTGACACTTGCCCGAAAACATTCTTCGAAACGACCCATATTCACACGGTTTACATTCACGCACCACCGGACCTCAACGAATCACTGATTTTGAAAATAGATATCATTACAACAATGCAAAGAGTGAACATAGGGGTATGAATATATCTGACAACAAATGCTTGAGCGATAGCAAGAGCTCAGCTATCTGGTGGCCAAAACCCAATTCCGGTGCATCAAGAAAATCTATATGTAAATACAGCAGATATTCAAGTAACGAGGCCTCTTAACGAAAAACCTCACAATCTCCAACTTGATGTGCTCAACTTACAGCAGCACAATCATGAAAAGCAGCACGGCAGCGCGGTCCGTTTCGACGCTTGTCCTCCCGTTAATTCTCCCTTGGAAACTAATAGACGGTGTTTGCAGCATAATGAACATACAATCAGCACCAAGAATCCAAAAAGTGCTAAAAGACTACCGCCCCCTATCGTCAAGTCATCGTACGTCTGAGAGGCAAATAGTGCAAATTAGTTCTCTTCGCATTAAATTGAAATGATTTTATAGCAATTGGAAGATATCTACTGGAAGAGTTTTTGAGAACGACATACACTGTTAAATGGTATAATTACTTGCACATTGAGTACAACATTTTGCAACATTTTGATTTCGAGATTTTTCTGATGTTATTTTTTCCTTTTTTGTTGAAATTGATGGCAGATGGTACGACTAACATTGGTAACATAGTTTTACAGTAAATACTTTTCTGTTAATTTTATACCTCAACCGTTTTGAAAACGATTTTTTAGAACATTGGTCAATCCATGCTGTAAACTTGTCTTTTGCAACTGTGTTAATTGGTACTGGTGATAGCGGGTGCACATTAAAAGTGCTATGTTGCCTGTCTTCGATAACCCATTAAGTATGTCATATTTGTTTGTAAATCAAAATGCAAATACGCGTCGGGATGCCCGGTGTTAGAAGGGTGACTGTTAAAAGGTGTGTTTGTACAAGAGTTTGTTTCCACACGCGTAGAAGCCAATGTAAACACAGAAACTAACTGTTGCCTGGCTCTGTATCTTGCACCAACACACACACACACACACACACACACACTCACACACACACGCAGACACGCACGGATGCACGCACGCACACACAAACACACACTCACCCTTACTGTAATATTAATGTCGAACAATTGATAAGAAGTGACGAATCAAACTAACTGAAAGATTAAATAAAAAAAGATCGTCGGATGATAAACCAACATAACATTCATATTAAACCCCGTTCCCATACCTAGATCGATCTAGCAGGATCAACTCTGTTAAGGTCCACTGAAGGCAAGTGATAAACTCACTCATCTACATATTATGTTTATATAATCAGTCATCATTATCATTCACTTGGCTTCAGTCTTGCATGAACATTTATCATTCTTTGTTTAACTAAGTAAGCTTGGGGCAAATGCATATCTGATAAGTAGAAACTACTGCATTGCAATTAGTATTTAAATCAGTTGCTGCCACTGTGGCATGCAGATAGATTCCCTGGAGATAATGTGTATAAATGCTGAATGCTTGGACTTAATAAAGGACTTTAGACTTGGAACTGAAGATGTGAGTTTGTGGTTATATTCCCTCTCCCATGCATCAGTGACAGGTAAAATATTAGAAGAACCTGGGTAGGGTGGAACTTGGACCCCTACATAATGGCGAGCTCGACCAGGGTCACTGCGGGGGAGGGATATAGCTATGAATATAACTATGGATCCAACTTTGAAGATGTGTATGGAGATGATGACTGGGATTCTGAAAAGGACTGTAACATTAATGGCAGACTGGTAGAATGCCTGTCCAAGCTAGCCGACTTGTTACAGAGACAGTATGGCAGTTTGCAGCAACAAAATAATGACATTAGCGCAGAATCTGAAATGAAACAAGAAGAAGTTAAAGATAGAAATCAAATCAAAGTAGATGGACCATCAGAAATGGAGAAGGGAACTGAAGTTGAGACATTGAGTACTGCTAAAGAAGATGAATGTATGATGGAGTTTGTGAAGGAGCAAGTTGTAGGTGAAGAAAATGATGGGAATGAACTGAGCGAGGACATTATTTTTGCAAATGATCAAGAGGTAGGAAAGAGAACTGATTTTGAGAAAGGGGAGAAACGTGAAAGGTATGTCGAGAAAGATTATGAACAAGAGCTAGGATTGAAAACTGATGATGATGATGATGATGATGATGATGACAACGGATTAATCAGAAGAGAGAGTAAAATGGGTGAACTGAAGTATTATGAGAAACCTGATGTAGTTGAAAAGGCTTTAACAGATGATGTAAAGAATACAGATAAAGAAGGACTTGATGATGATGATGACCCAAAGTATGTGGAGAAACATGGTGTAGATGAAAATGCTGTAATGGATTATGTGAAGAATGCTGATGAAGGACTTAATGATGAACCAATGGAAATGGATATTTCTAATCTTAAAGATACACACAGAGACATACATGTGCTAACTGAAGTTGAGATAAAACAAAGTGCAGATGAAGAGGTACTAAAAGTTGTAGAGAATGAAGACAAACAAGGTTCAGACAGAGAAAATGTTTGTGAGAACACAAAAGAATGGACAGCTGTAAAATGGGAATTTCACAGAGACAATGAAAAGGTGCAAAGAAAGTTTATGGCAAAGAAAGTAAAATGGACACTTCTTCCACACTGCAAATTAAGATATGATTTTTATGACTATTTAGTTAAAGGATGATACATTTGTCAGAGCTGTACTGCAGGTTAGGAAAAAGGAGATATATTGGATTTATAGATATTTACCATTCAGCTCAGTATTTGATATTCTTGTTTCAATGTTTTAAGTAAAATTACACCAAAGATTCAGGACTTACATATCTGAAAATAATAAGATTTAAATGTGCTTACAGTTAAGGTTAAAACTGAATTATATAGGATAAGTGAAAATATGTTGTTGTTTTTTCTATTGATGGTAAATTGCCAACATGTAGGGAGATTTCCAAGATATGTGTTATGGAAGAAAGAATACACTTTAATGATATATCTGATATTAAATTGTTTAATTGATGAGATTTTTTTAAATGCACAGTCCATTAGAAAAGCTGTTATTTAAACCATCTGTATGATAACTGGACATTTTTCTTTTTCAAAATATTTTGGGAGCATAAACATTCAAATTTAATTTCATTAGAATAATGACATGTCTTTGCACAGCAATGGAATGGATAATGAACTGAATTGATTACAATTGTTAGTTAAACTAATGATATTTGATAGAATTATATATAAACATACATATATTTTAGTTGAATCATGACATACATATTTTTGTAAGTATTTAGCTGTTAAAATGTTATCTTTGAGTATTCTGTGGAATCTATATTTCAAAAAATTATGTATTCATAATTTTTTTTGTGGGAAAAGAAGGAATATGTTAAGGTCCACTGAAGGCAAGTGATAAACTCACTCATCTACATATTATGTTTATATAATCAGTCATCATTATCATTCACTTGGCTTCAGTCTTGCATGAATATTTATCATTCTTTGTTTAACTAANTATTTATCATTCTTTGTTTAACTAAGTAAGCTTGGGGCAAATGCATATCTGATAAGTAGAAACTACTGCATTGCAATTAGAAAAAACAACAACATATTTTCACTTATCCTATATAATTAGTTGCTGCCACTGTGGCATGCAGATAGATTCCCTGGAGATAATGTGTATAAATGCTGAATGCTTGGACTTAATAAAGGACTTTAGACTTGGAACTGAAGATGTGAGTTTGTGGTTATATTCCCTCTCCCATGCATCAGTGACAGGTAAAATATTAGAAGAACCTGGGTAGGGTGGAACGTGGACCCCTACAACTCATCTCCGAGGCGTTTCTAGATAAATTGCTTTCTGCTTAAGCGGCTCTGATGTATAAGGGGTTATTAACTATCGTTCAGCAACTTTTGTAGGCCTGTCAGGCATCTAAGCCGGTTACGCTAAAAGTAATTTAGAAACCCCTCGGAGATTGATCAAGCCTGCTAGGTCGATCTAGGTTTGGGAATGGGGTCTTAAAAATCACACAAAGGGAGACACAACATTTGTACCTTACGTGAGCGACATATATCAAGTCCATGTCACTTAAAAATGCTCCAGTGTAAATATCGGTGAGATCCTCGTGCTTTCTCTTTAAAAAAAGCGTTATCTATTACTCATATGTCAAGCATTCAGCAAATACAGGCTAGGCTTTTGATACGGTCGTAGTTACTGTCAACATTTCCTAATTGATCGGTTGACAATTTTGAGGTAGGCGATACTGTGTATAACCTACTGAACGACATAAAAACGCACACGACTTTTTTTTTTGCAACGATTAAGTTGGGTGGCCAGCGTGCAGGAGGCGCTGTGCCGACCCTGGTTTATTACAAGTACAATGGCATCAAAAGAGCTCTACAACGTTTTCAGAGAGAATTTTTTAACGTGCCATATATGTCTGGAGGAATATACAGACCCGAGAGTGCTCCCCTGTTACCACACGTTCTGCCTGGATTGTATTGGTGACCATGCAGCCAAAAATGGAGTGCAGAACAAGTTCTCCTGTCCCGTGTGTCGCCAAGACGCCCCCGTACCACCAGGCGGATTAGCAACTCTCGTGAAAAACTTCTTCTTAATAAACGTTAAAGACTTCATGAAAGGTCAGAAGGCACCAGAGGGGAGACTTTGTGATTATTGTAAGCATATAGAGGCCACTATGTTGTGCCAAGGATGTCCCAAGACCAACCAACTGTGTGTTACATGTCGTGAATTGCACGACAATATCCCGGCCTTAAATGGACACCACTTTGTGCCTCTGTCACAAGTCGACTTCTCAGTTGATCAAGCTAACGTACGCGAACAGTTACGTCAAGTATTAGATAAAGCTCAATTTTGCGACAAACATGCCGGCGAACAGCTTGCATTCTATTGTCAAAACGATGACGCTGTCATATGCAGGGAATGCATCGTAGAAACCCACAGCAAACACGATTTCAAAAAAATAGGAGATGTGGTGATATTTCAACGTAGTCTAATAGTAGACAGGCTAAAATGTCTCCCAACTGAAAAACTGTCTCGTTTGGAGAAGGCGGAAAAGGCCATTGCACGAACGGAAGAGAGTCTGACTGAAAACCAGAGGAGGGTTCTTCGTTTGGTGGATTCTCAAAGAGTTACTATGACACAGGAGATACATGATAACAGTAAAATTATAGAGAGGGAACTGAACGATTGTTACCAGCAAATAGAACAAGATGTACGTAAACAAACAGACGCATATTTGACCAGTGTAAAGCATCATTTGGTAATGTATCGAACAAAGGTACAATCCAATTATACCAAAATGAGAAAGTTTATAGATGATAAAAGCAACGCAGTATCAGAAGAAGTTATGGCACTCACCTCTGCTCAGGTGAAGACTTTAGAAGCTGAAAAGGACAAGCAAGAAATGCTCAAGATTTGCATTCAGAGTATTCGTGATTTCGCCCAGCAGCTCACAGACACAGGTTCTGATATCGAGGTCATGACCCACTCTAAAAAAATCCAAGCTAGAATTACAGACTTACAGACAGTAGAACCTGTCTTTGATACCAAGATCATCGACATAAAATTTACACCAGGGAAAACAAAAATGGACCTTGCGCTACAGTTTCCTAAAATTCCGGAACCACAGCTGTCAATCAAAACGGGGTCCATCACGGCGAAGACATATGGTGGTCCTTTGGATGCATATTTCGGATGTTTGGAACAAGAGACAGTGCACTGTCCCGAATTGCGACAATTTCAGAGAGTAGTGTTGTTAAAAACGCCAGAGCGAACGCGTTGTTTCAATGTCAAGGGTTGGCTTTGGTATATTCAGTGCACAGATGACGGTTGCATTTTAGTTATCCAAGGTGATTCAGTGTCCATTATCTCCAATGCAAGTCAGTATAAGTGTGAGATAAGTATAGAGGGAGGGGTGAGGTGTATCTCTACAGTCAGTAACGATAGATTCGTGGTCATGTGTGGAGATAAATGCTGTAGATTGTATTCAACATCAGGTCAGGTCATCCGATGTTTTGGTCAGGGTGATATGTCTGACCCCTGGGGTGTCACTGTGAACCGTGCAGAGGGTATCGTGTACGTGTGTGATGGTGGTGCACAATGCATCTGTGTGTACGACATGAAATCTTTTCAACTAGTTAACAGAATTCCTATCACTATGTGCAGTAAAGGTTCACTGCGCTGTGCATACCACCACATCATCAATGCAATCATAGTCAGCGACCAGGGCACCCACTGTGTGTATGCAGTGACACCCCAGGGTGACGTAATCTTCCAATACGGAGTACGAGGTCAGAGTGGAAGTGGACACGGACAACTGACCAATCCACTAGGAGTGTGTGTAGATAAGTTCGGACACATATTCATAGCTGACGCTAGCCGTAATAATCACAGAGTGGTTGTTCTTGGTTCAGACGGAAAATTTCTGCATAATATTCTGACAAGGAATGATGACATAGAAGTTCCTGTTTCAGTCGATATTAGCGATAGCGGGGAGCTTGTTGTTGGAACTAATCAAAGTAAAATAATGGCGTATCAGTACATTGATAAAATTTAAATGATTTAGCTTATACTACCCAAGCTGTTAGGAGGTGTTGACGATAGTCAGTTACTCTCTATAGTTACTCGAGGGGGTGTGCCAGACAATTAAACTGATTACACTGAAAGTACTTTAGTGAGAACCCCCGCAGAGTTAGATCGATCCAGCTAGTACGATGGGTTTAGGGAAACGCAGTCTTAGATTAAAGATACTTAGCACGAAAGACAATGATTCTTCTTTAGACAGGGCTTAAATATATGGTCCCAACAATATGGTGCTGATACACTACGAAACCATAGACCCCAAACTTTTAACAGACCGCAATTTTTACATAACAGAACTGATAGTGTACAGCGACATCTATGGAGAAGGACGGAGTTAAGGAATCTTTGTTATTGACGACGTAACCAGGAAAATCCCAGGGAAGTCGTTATATTCTCGAAAGACTGTAACTTAATACGATGGTCACAACAAGATATAAATATCATATGGAAAATATATGTCCTTTGGTTAAACATTCACCAAATGCTTAATGGTATTATTGTTGATTTGAAGTGAATGGATTTTTATTAAAAATTAATAAAAACAGCGACACCAACAGTACATGTTGATTTTTAATGTTATAACGAAAGAAGACTTTTCCGGTTATTCGCGAATGGTGAAGGCATGATAAAAGTATTCCACAAATCATTGAATGGTGTATTTGGTGATATGGGGGCCTTTGGCAAAAGCATCATCCACCACCTATGAGGGTAGACATGTCTTTGGCATTATTGCAGCACTTTTGGTCGTCTCATACTTGACTTTGTTCTGGTTATTCGCATTGCTCACATTCCCAGTTCCTTTTGTAATCTACAAAACCAATGCGTTGCTAGAGAAAACAACGTTGGGTTCACGCCTTATCTCGTGGGTTGGAGAAAAGGCGAGAAGTGTAGAACGTTCTCTGCGATGGGCAGTTCACAAAGCGCAGATGAAGTACGGCCCGGCTATGAAGAAGAGTATCCACCAAAGCAAAATGACAAAAAACTGTAATCCGACAACGCAGGTGAATCGTGGTTCAAACGGCGTCAGTCAGATCCACTTGCCCGAAAACAATCTTCGAGACGACCCATATTCACACGGTTTACATTCA